GATAGAATTTGGATGGTCATGAATGAATTAGATTGAAGACGAATTTTAAGATTAAGATGCAGAATTAGTTAACCTATATAATTAAATGTCATGTACTGTGATCGAGGTCAATATCATCAATATAAAGATTGTTAATGTATTCATTTTTCATATTTTTGAATTAGTTTGTAATGATTCTCACATTCAGTACGAAAATCGACACTTTTTTGTCTATGAATTCTTGGGTAACTATGATAGTAGTCGACAAATTTGCCAGAATTACACCGAAGGAGGAGATTTTGCAATGCTAGATAATGCTGAGATAAACAATGTCTTCAATCATTATTTATATTTATGGTCCTCTTCGATGTGGATGGGGCTGAGAGATATTAATAACGAAGATAATATAAATAAATTTGTTTGGGTTGATGGTACTCTGGCCGATACATATACAAATTGGGGTGCCTATATGCCATTATCAGATCGAGATTGTGGTCTTATGGCAAGAATTGGTCAGGATTATAAATGGCTAAACCTTGCATGTAATATCTTTTTGGCATCACTTTGTGAGTTCGGTAAGTGTAATCTTCATTTGTAATCCGCCTTTATTAAAGTAATATTGAATAATGATAATCTATATTTATATAATTCATTAGATCTCATTTCTTTCATTAGAATCAGCTTCTACACCAGCCTTACCTACTTCTGCTCCTTCTGCTATTACTACAGTGCTTTCTCACTACTATAAACAAATGGATATTGAAGCTGAATATACAGGTGCAACGGATATTGGTAGAATTTGAGAATGATTTAGACTGGCTTATAATCATTTAACAGGGCATAGATTCGCATAATTATAATTGAATGTATAAGTCATATTCAGTATTATTAAAACTGAATCGAATTTATTCAAGCTCCTGTTTGTATAGAATCTATTACTTTAGAATTCTATAAAAACAGACAGATGGTATATTAATCTATTAATTAATATAAGGTAATCGTCACAAACCAGCTTCGTGACAAGGATAACGTAAAACAAATCTCTAAATTACTATAGTCTCCGGGATCCAGTATCCCTTAACTACCTCACAAAAATTTAGACGCCTTTGCTTCTACGTTAAACTCAACCAGACAATTTAGAACTACTTTATTCAACTATCTAACGGGTTTATATACCCTTCTACAGCAGCTAACAATCATGAGTCATCTTATGAAAATACTTAGGTGAGAACATCTACTAACTAATTTTTCACAGTCGGACTACAATATGTCCATTCACAGAATCATTTCAGTGCACATTACAGCACAGCATTAAATTTACTGTAACACATTTATAATTAGAGTAATTCCTTTTGTAAGTAACTAGTTGTAATATATTATCGCTATATTATATTAACCAAATTTAGATAGCTATTTCTTCACGGTAGT